TACACGACAAGTAATAAAACAAATGTAACTGTAGCTTGACTGGCTTTTGTGAGCTTGTTTTGTTAAAACAGGGAAAATTTGTGATGTTCTTGCGAGTTTTTTCAACTTGGACAGTCGCTTCGAATTTTTATGTTACTACATAAACTCAATAAAAAATCATCAAGATGATACAAGTCCATTTATTCTTTTACATTGACGAGTTTCTAGCCAGCTTATGTATAGTCATTTTTTCCACCAGTGATGTACGTACACCTTTTTTTCATGCAAAAACTATTATTTACATATTATTTATATTAAACGTATGTACATAATTTATATGTAAAAAATATGCTAAAAATTTTCATCAAGTGAAACAATTGTAATGTCCAAAAATTTTCAATTTTATAAAAAAACGGCACTTTTTGAAATTTTGTCAAGATTTTACGTAGTGGTAGCCCAACCAATAAGCCGCAAAAATTTTTTAAGTGCATCAACAAAATTTTTAACCAATAGACCGAGGAGCTACGAAGTAACGTGCAATCACTTTTGATTGACAGCTATATTGAAATTGAAGTTGAATAACTATAATGCATATTTGAGAAGTACAATTTTTCGAGTATCTTGATGATAAAACTGGTTATAGTGAAAAGTATTCAAGTAAAGAATCAGGTAACACCAATGGTCCAGGATATGCTTAAGCAGACGTAAGATGGTGCATTTTAACGGGCACACATACACGCACATGTACACTTTAGAGGGAGCGTGAGAGAGAGTAACATGTTTGCGTAGATCGACTTCAAAACAGGGTTTGGAAAAAGATATTTAAAATGGGGGGGGGGGGGGTGTTAATTTATTTTTTCAAGCAATTTTATTCTGTAAACGCAATTTTTTGAATTAAGGGGTATAAAAAAAGGTTATAACAACGAGGTAAAAAAGTCTGATATCAAGCATAAAGGGTAGAAAAAAAAAAATCAAAGAAACTAAGGAGGAGGAAAAAAGTCGATCGAATAAATATGGGAAATGGTAAGAAAAAGGTATGAAACAAAGTGAAAAAATAACAACGGTCGTGACGATCGTGAGTGTAAGCCCGCAACAATTGAAACGAATTTGCGGATTCAAGTAGGCACAGTAATAAGGGCTCTTCCGATTTCTCCTTCGTACAATCAGCTTTATTGACGCTGAGAACTTCCTTTGGCTAGAATTGACTTGGGGTTAATTTAGCAGCAGACTAACCTGCCAACGTCTTGCCGTTGTTATTTCCTCCTTTTTACTAAACACCAGCCGCACTCTAGCTCTCTTATACGGCCGCTCGACTCGAGAAGCAAAAATTTCACTTTTAGATTTTAAGGAAGCCAAATGGCAACATAAAATATACATATGTATGTATTATTATCATCTTTGTTATTGTTGCGCGTAATTCAATATCAGTAACTTATATTCATAAACACACGGGATTCGGTGATTATACTAGAATTGTAAAAACACAACGTTTGGAAGAAAGATGGGCAAGATAAATATAAACATTAATTGAGAAAAAAATTAATAAAAAGGCTTCACCATCACAAACTACGCGAACCAATTCTTTAACACCCGAGCTTACTCGTCACAGTTGAATTACTAAACTGTTGCGTTACGAGCGTATTGCTGATAACACCTGCATTATTTCGATCACTGTCTCAACTGAATGTTAAAAAAGTTATTAAACTCAAACAGCATCGAAATCACAGAAAATAATGTATAGGCGCATAATAATAATTAAGCATTTTGAATTAAAAAAACATCGTATAATGCACATGTCTAAATCATAATACTGTTTTTTTGACTGACTCCAGAGCGAATTCGGGCCAATAATATTGGGCTCTTGTTTGTGTATCTACTTTTACACCTATTGCTTTGCTGTATTTACATTATTGCAAAGTTCGTGATCTAGTACAGGTTTACCACACAACCAATCACGGCCGCAGACTCTACGATAGGAGACTCTGGTTGTATATTATAAATGTGTGCTATAAGGGTAAATGCGAGAAAGCCCGAGAGTTGATAAACACATTAAGTATTGAGGTACTTGTGATATTTAAAAATGGCCGGATTCAAGAGTTAACTGAGACTTTTTTTAATGACGTAAAAAAAAATTTTTCCCCACCCTTCAAGTTTCTGGATGAATCACAGGAGGGAGCTTTGCATTCATTATACATCCCAGCAAGTACATGGTACATACAGACATATATATATATATATATATAATGTGTACGTTTAATTTATGCGAATCACAAAATGGAATGCATTTCAACATGAATACTAAGCATGCGAGCTAGCATGAGGTAGTAATTTAAACATATTAGATAAACTCAAGTGTAGTTGTTATCAAGTTGTTGTTACACTTAGTTTTATAGTTTTATAGGGTGAAAACGAGGCAATCAGCAAAGCTTGGCTTTTTGTTTTCTAGTATCTTCATTATAATTTTTCAAGATTCTTGACATAAAAAATTGTTCAACAACACTTTACCGAAAAAATGAGCTTTGGACTCGTGCAACATTTCATTTTACTAAAACTTGTTGCTTTGTAAGATAACATTCAAGTAAGTGTTTTATTTATTTCTACCATTCTTAATAAATGAGGAAAAAAAAAAAAAAAAAAAATTGCTGAAAAATTGCTGAAAAATTGGTTTTTAGTCTATGGAGGAAAATAGTATGATGAACAAAAACTCACTTACTTACAGAAAGAAATGTTTTTAACGATCCAAGCGTTACTTATCAAGTACATGTGTAGTATACTTACCTTACCTATGCGCATGTGTCTACATTTCGAATTGATGGCATCTGCAGTGCCACGAAAAAGCGTGAAAGTGAAGAAATTGGAGGTAAGTAGGTAACCAAAAGTTTTCTTTAGTATTTGCTACATAACCGATATCTGTCAAGATAATTTAAGTAATTGAAGCTATAAAGTATGGAATGTATTCCTTACATTACGTCCTGAAAACGAGAATTTTTTTTTTATCTACATCACCGAGCACCCATTTTTTTTTTAACAAAAAAATATTCCTAAACCTTCAGTTACTTTGATTTTTCAAGTTCAGTGTATGAAATATTTTATAAACTCAAATAGTTATTTTTTATAAATATTTTTTTCAGTTTATTAAAAAAATAAATTAATTTGTAACACATGTAATCGCGACCTATAGAAAATAATTTTACTCAACACGCAGGCCTTATTGTAATTCGTGAGTATGAAAGTAGGAAGCAAAGTTAGAGTGAAAAACTTATGGATAGAAAGAATTGTAAGAAACGGCCACAACAAAAATGTACTAAAAGCTTTATCGATTATCTTTTACTTCTTTCTTTCTCAATTTACCTAGATGTGTCCATACATGTTTTTATTTTTTTTTGTATTACCTGTTAAAATGTTTTTATTTTACAATAGTTTATTCTAGGTCATGGAACTCTAATAAAAAATTAGGATGTGTAGAGCAGTACCTAAATTTAATTTTTACAAAGTACCCAAATGCAAGATGTATTTAAAGTCTAGATTTTTTTCAAAAGTAAACAACAGATTTTCAACTTGCGAGCACGTTCAAGCGCAGTTATGTTGTTTTCTTGAAGGCTTGGCTTATTGAATCGAAAAATAAAATTTTTTCGGAATTTTACGGATCTTATTATTTAAATCATTTTATAAAAATCCTTAGTATACAATTTTCTTAAAGCAGACTTCGTTTCTCGATATAGATAAGCTCTAGTAGCAATGCATATTAAGCTAGGAAATTCACTAGCAAACCCCAAATAGATTCATAAGGATGAAACAGTTGTATCTTTAAATTTATCATCATTGCATTTGCTTATTCTTAAAATGTAAAATAATCGATAGTAAATCAGTTTTTGGCCAACCTAAAATGATTTCATTTTTTAGAGCGTTAACATGACGTTTTTTGAAAAAAAAATTTACTGTGCAAAAAATCATTTTATTAGTTTTTATAAATCACATCATTATCATTAAATGTTTCGCTCTGGAATGTTTAATAAAAAAACTATAAGGATTTTAAGATGGTTTTAGAGGATTGCACGTCGTTAACTAGGTTCATGCAACTATAATATCTTTAATTCACTTGTACTTGCGTTATTGCGAATTAATAATTATGACACAATACCATGCAATTCTTCGACAAATGTGGAATTTATACATTTATCGACAAAGTCTAGCTATTAAAAACATATCAAAATATTTTACTTTATGAATTAATACTGTTTCATTGCTTCTCAAAGTCATTGGTATAAAATTTCAGTTTTTAAAATAAAACGGAAAAAATTTTAAGCTGATTTTATAGAAATTTTTCAGAGTTTTCATCAATAACTTGGCTTCGGGGTCTTCGAGGGTCAACCTTTTAAATTGCATAAGCTTTTATTCGAATATCTATTAGTTGTTGCTGTTTTTTTTTTTTATTTTTTTTTTTTTTCACAATCTGTAAATCACAATTTTATCAGTAGTAAATTTAAGACGTTATTTTTTATGTAGCTGCAGAATAAAAACACATTTTGAGAAACGAGTGTTTGCACGAAAGCGTGAGCATTTAAAAGAAATAATAAAAACTGCCTAGTGTCATCACAGATCAACGCGTAATGCGTCGAGTTAGTAATAAAAATATGAAAACATTCGAGAGCCACGAGTAGGCGCGGCGCAAAGTTGCTGTATCGATTCTCGAGTTTTTCCTGTTTCAGATAAGAACTTAAAAAAGGAGGAAAGTACGGTATTATTGTGTACGCCGTACATACATACACGACGTGTTATCGGACGTATCTCTTTTTATACAGTGCCTAAAAAAAGCGTATACTCTCTTAAGATTCATCAATCTTCAATTCATCAATAATAACGTAAAATGTTTGGATGATTACACACGAATTTGTAATATGGTGATATATTTTTGCTCTGGTGGTACAGTTGAAAACATTTCCTGCGAATCGGTCATTGTTTGTTGAAAAAAACAAAGATTGAAATATTATTTATGCGTGTTATGCATTACTACCACCAACCTTCGAGCTCGACGACCTTGCCTGCCCTCTTGAGCGCCTTGACCGCCTCGTCGTGGGTAGCCTCGCGAAGATCTTCGCCGTTAACAGCGAGTATCGCGTCGCCCACGTATAACTGTTCGGTCGCGTCGGCGGCCATGCCCTTGAATATCTTGGATATGAGGATGGGCATCTTGTTCTCCTTGCCTCCCTTGATGGAGATGCCCAAGCCATTGTTGTCACTTTTGACGACGCGCACGGTGCGCTTTTGGTTTGCCACCGAGTCCGGCACGTCTGGATCGCCCAAGCTGTCGTTGTTGTTGTTGCTGCTGCTGCTGCCGGTGCAACTGGCACTGGCACTTGGTGCACCCTGGACGTTGCCATTGTTGAAGCCGTTGCTACTGGTACCCGTGCCAGTCAGGCAACTGACGCTGCTGCTACTGACACCACTGGCGACCATGCTGTCGCAGCTCTCGTCGAGCGAGATGCTCAGATAGTCCTCCTCGAGGGACACGAAGACCCTGTACCACTGGCCGCGCACCTGGGTCTCGAGAAGACCCGCGCGCCCCGACGTAAAGGACAAGCCCGAGGAGGCAGCCACCGGAGCCGGTCCCATCACTGTCGTCACGCCCGAGCCGCCCGTCGTCTGATGCTGATAATGATGATGCTGCAGCTGCGACTGGCCGCTAGCGCTGTTCCCGCTTAGCTCGACCATTTCAATCTCCTCGTGACTCGCGCACTGAAAGTAACAAAATATTTAATATTTACAATTTTTAATCCTCATATACTTATAAGCTGATACTTGTTGCATAATTATAGACTGAAGTCATGTTTGAGGACCTTTGCACGCAAATGCGATAAGAGTAAGGAATTAAAGGAGAAACAACATGAATAAAAGCCGGCATCACATCATGTTGATGTACTATACTTTTTTAAATACATCAACCCGATATTTTTTATATAAATGATAAATGTGTTTACCAAGTGTTGGTGCATAAAAAAAAAAAAAAAAAAAAGTTATGGGACCAATGCGTAATTTCACGAATTTCAAGTATGGCATAAATAAACGTAAATACCTATTGTAAGTTGGCCATTTGAAAAAATTATGTTTTCGCGCGACAGCGAACATACACATACATAGGTACATACATGTCTTCCTGCGCTTGTAAATTATAATTTACGTGCACTGGAGACAGTGTATACTTATTGACTTTCGCTCAACTGTACTTTACTTAATCGAAGCGGAGGTACCACTTTCTCTCGCAGCGGCCCCATAAAATAGTCTACACGCCACGGGAGCCATCAGTAGGTAAGTATACATATAGAAGCCTCGAATCTCATGTTTATCACCTTTGGCTACGAGTGAGACTATCTTTTTATCACTATTGCGTTTAACAATGTATATTTTCGTCATTGTCAACAAAATCTAAGAAAAAAAGGATTGAAAAATCGCCAACTATACAAATAGTAGGGAAGGGGGGGAGGGCTTTAACTGAGTTAAAAAAAATAATAATTAATTTTTAAAAAATAAGTATGGGCTTATTTTACTTCCCTCCCTTTCGATTCAGAATAACGTATTTTATTGTACACCGTTAATTTATAAAATTTATTGTATTACATGATGTATTCACTTTACTCATCCACGTTCTTGTGTGTATGTGATGAACGTTTATAATTCTGCATATTAAAGTTAAAGTTGTGGCTTTTAATGTACAGTCGTGTGTAGTTTTAAATTTTGTTTAGAAAAATTAATTTGATAAAATACAAAGCTACGACCAAGAGAATGAACAAAAATTAGATCAAGTCTGATTTATCTGCATTTGTTGTTTTAATTGGCCCTAATAAAAGTAGCGTTGGTAGTAAACAGGAAGGAATGCTGTTGTCGAGCATAGAAAAATGTATACCAATGGTATATTGGTCACTTGTTAATCTGAGCACAAGTTTTTCTTTGAAACACTTTTTTTCGTTCATGAACAATGAAAAGTAATGGGTACGATGAATACTTTTTATACGTTACACAAAAAGAAAAATCGAATCATGAATGACACCGTTTTAAAAACGGTAGGACTACGGTGGCACGCGAGAAAAAAATGCTTTATATTTGAAAAATTTCGTTCCGGTTATTAAAAACAATTAAATACCATATAGGCTACCGACAATACACACACACACACACACACACACACACACACACACGACGAGAGATAGATAGCATACATACAGTACTACATGCAATGGGAAGATGTCTTTTATCCCCATGCACGCGTGTGTAATAACACCTCAATAGGATCATCTACTCAACGTTGCATTCAACAATTTATTCATCATCAATTGTTTTTAATAATTTAGACATTTTTCCCTGACATTTTAAACTTGGACCCAAGCTAGTTGGGTATCGTGAGGGTTCTAGCACCAAATTCACATTAATAATGCTCAGAAAACATTATGGGACACATAGTTTGAAATGTTACAAGGACATGAGATTTACATGTTAAAAAACTTGTACATTTAAGCAAAAAAAAGCATGTGCTCATCAAAAGGATCAATTCCTTTGTGAGATTATTTGATGAAGCTCCTTTACTCAGGAAACAATCGCCAAAACAAAATGTCAAATTGACAATAGCTGCGTAACAGTGTGCATGTCTAACATACATATGGGATTGGCAATTAATGAAATTAGGTCAATTAGAAGATATAAGATCATATGTAAGCGCAATTATGGGATGTAGCTATGACACAAAAAATAATTAAAAGCTATCAAAAATCAGCATGAGCAAGCAGTGATTAGTTTATGTATCTTTATTGTAAGATAACTAAGAATCCCTTACTGCTCATACACATTCGTGTGTGCAGTGTATATTTTGACGAATGTATTATTTTAGTTTTTTTTTAATAATATTCATCTTTAAGTACGTTTTTACGTTGTAGCTTGTATATTCGGTAAAGTGGAAAGAGAAATAATACACACACATCAGCTAGTACATGTGTACCTGGTTTTGATATTATTAATTTTATTGGTTGGATATTCAACTGGGAATTTGAGAATAATGTCCGTGAGCCACGACGACAGCAGCAGCTGCATATTACGATACATATACACACAACAGTAGGTAATCAAGTATTCCAGGTAAAGGAAAAGAAGCATGCTCATATTGTTACCGTATAGCGTGCGTGAACGGGCATATGACTTCCACTCGCGCACCTTGATCGTTATTACCGACGATGGCCAATAATCATCATAGAAGAATGCGAATAAGACACAGAGAGATGGGTGCTTTCTTGAATTGACCGAAAACTAAAGTATACGTTACACACCAGCAACTTAAGTTTCTTCTCCAACAGTCCAGTCCTTGGCTCTGAGTTTAACATGTATGCATGTGAGTGTATACACATGTATGAAAATACGCCTATCCAAAGTATAAGATGGTCGGAAATTTAGGATTTACCTTTGCCCTGCTTGGATATTTATTATTATTGCTCAGCGGCGGCAGTAGCCATACGAGACACTGCCGTTTATTTTCATAAATCTTGGAAGCTGTTTTTCGTTTTAATGTCCACTTGGTAGGACATCCTTTCATTTCTTGGTAAAACACTATACGCACGCGCGCGCGCGCACACACACACACTCACACACACTTCACAGAATATTCGTTTTTTTTTTTTTTCTTCAAAATTTACTTAAATACCCGAATCGTTGCTAAGTAGGTGGGAATTCGATGCACTTGGTAATCAACTACAACAAACAATACAAGCTAATACAACGAGCTTGTTTAAATTCAAACAGGTTGTTGTTTCACTTGACAAGGGCAAAACTCAAATGCAACGGTGACAATGTTCACGTTCAGATACATTACAACTTTCAAGAAATAAAAGAAAATAGAGTTATCTGCTTGTGTATACAATATATAATGATACTACAAGTCGTTTGGCCGGCTCAGCAGCAGTTTTCCGAAAATTTTTGCCTATAAACGTGATATGACACGATCTACTCCATGCATGATAGGAGGTGGAGAGGGAGGGGCTATAGCCGTCAACTTATTCTCCCATGGCAATAAGAGGCTCACCTAAAAACATACACTATCTCGCTTTTTCTTCTCAGCTTGCCTTCTTGTCAGGCCATCGGTTATTAGGTTATTAGTCGACGCCAGTCGGATTTTCGTGTATTTACTGTACAGTGACACCACTGCCACCGATTCCATGGGCTAACAGTAATAAAATGATCACAGGAATTGAACACCAACAAGTGACACGGTAGCAACAAAGATGATATGGACGACAATAAAAACAATAGCAAAATGATACACCAAGCGACGCCAGAGTAAAGAAGCATTCACGGTTATACTAATCGAGAAATATTGCGCTATTTGTAAACATGGTTAATGCAGATAGATACACGCGCGCGTACGCGAGGAGTGGCGAAACGATACTGACGGAATACGTGTGCACTGGCTTACCGAGATACCGAGTAACAAGGGTACGACTACGAACACTACTATACGAACTGTACGAATACTACGAAATCTACAAAGATGCGATCTTGCGATCGTCGCGAATGACTACACGAGCACAGTAGCACACAAGTACACTCGACAAGCGAACGGAGCGCCGGTGGTGGATTTCCCATACTGCAGTGACCAAGTGACCATAGGAGGCAGGTTTTCACATGACCGCCATTGATAGGAGCGCCATGATATATATATATATGGGTAAAGTTGTCCTCTGTTTAACCAACGTGTCATTTACGAACACAGAGAGCCCTTTCACAAAATGCAAATTTCAATAACAATTATACATTTTAAGCGTTAAAATTAGATTTTCATTGATACGCGAGTAAATGAACAAGAAGATTATGAAACTCGATGAGGTTTAAAGCTCAGAGAATGTAATAAAAAATTTTTGGGGTATGAGCTTTAACGCGATAGCTTATGTATATAGAAACGTTACAAGTCCTCTTTTTCAATATTTTGCACTTGGCAAATAGTTACGACATTTTGTCAACATGTTTGTTCATCACCAAGTACTTGGTCACTTGTTGGAGCAAGTAAAGTAAATAAACAAAAACTGAACATATGCTCACGAAAAGTTTTCACAAAAAGAAAAAAATACTTTTCAATAAAAATCTTTTGGTAATAAAAATTGCTTCCGAATGCATATATCTTAAATCTCGCATCAAATTTTTTCGATTTTTTATTCGAAAAGCATTAAGTACGAAAAAATGTAAGACCATGGTCGCTGAACTGGATGTTTGAAGATAAAAAGGACTTGGTTGAGACAGCAATGTAAAAAAGATATATTGTACAATGCAAAAAAATATGTGACATGCATAATTTAATGCCAGACGTATTTTACCATAGTTTTGGTTTGCGAAAATATCCGTATTTCTGTTATCTCAAATATCTTGTCCATTTATGCATAAAGTATGTGTGTGCGTGGGTGTGTGAGAGTAGTGTGTGAATATGTATACATGCATTTGTACACAGTGTGTATTTACAAAAGTATACAACTACAAAAAGGATTGTAGGTTCGAAAAAGAAACTAAGTAATATTTCTTACGTATTAACAATTAGTTGAGAAAATTGATAAATCTTCGATGACAGTATCGCATTTCCACCAAAGCCAATAAAGCTAAAAATAATTAGTGCAGGTTTTTTACTTAAATAAATAGTGGACGGTTATATTTAAGAATAAAAGCTTATAATTTTCAGCAATTATCATAAATGAATCAACAATTTAAAAAAATTTACTTGATATTTACAACTGTGGTTCTTTATATTGATAATCATTTGCTTTTTAATAATTTTATNGGTATTTATCTATCTGTGTTAACGAACATATTTACAAGAATTTTCCTTTTTTTTCGTAAGAATGAGCGACAATGACGTTTGTTAAATCTTTTGCTTCGAAAGATAACGTGAATGTTCTTTGTAATAAGAAAAAAGGAAAAAAAAAAAAAAAATCTAACGTGTTTGATGATTCAACAGTCATTGAATTTTTTTGAGCACGAAACAATGGGTGCACTAGTTTATGCAATTCTTAAAGGCACCGCAGAGAAGAACAGGTGACAATAACAAGAAAAATAACTGTATTGCGGCTTTTAAAAGTGTGCGCCGCGCGCGGAACTCCGTCAAGCGCAGGATGGTTGGAAATAGGAAGTAACACAACAACAACAACAACAACAACAACAACAAGAGCGAGGAAACTTATTCCTACGTACTTAATTGAGGAAACAATTAATGAATAAGGAAACTCACGATGAGTGAACGATGCCAGTATGTTTGACGTTTGTATGTAAAAATTCGTTTTCGCTGGGCCTTTTGACGTGCAACGGGTGTCCATTCTTATCATCCACCATCGGCATCTTGGCGTATTCTGTACTTTTCGTTGGCTCGTGGCAAAAGATAAACAAACAAATTTAAACTATTGTTGTCTTAAAAGCGGAGCGACAGACGAGACGAGACTGAACTGACTGTTCGGTCAGTGGCTTCATATATAGACTCGTTTGCCTCCCACCCTTTCAGTCGCTCGATCCATAAGAGATGATAAGGTACATATATATATATAAGTTAGATAAAACGTGTTTAAAATCACTTGCAACCAAGTTCAAACAATTTTTAATGACCTTGTCACGTGATTTTCATTTTCGTGTTCATCAAGATATAATTATTTTGCTAAATGACGAATTACGGTTTAGATAATCGCTTGTGACTTGGTGAAGAATCCAACAACTGTTCCTCGATCGATACAAATCGGTTGAGTGTGTAAATAGTAGGAACATATCAGACCAATTTAGAGCGGCCATTAACTTTGCCATCCAAATCCAATGCCACTTGGTTTTAGTGCTGACAGAGTCAGTAACAGAAAAAAGGAAAACTTGATGATTGAAAATAAAATATTGGCACAATTATTTTGTGGCATCGTCAACGTTAAGCTCCTCCTTAATATAGGCAACGATCCTCGAGACAAATTCTTTAAGCAAACCCTTCATACGCTCCGAAACCTCCATGACTTCATTGTGATTGGCCTCCATGTGGTCCTCGTAGTCGTCCACACACATATTTGTTATCAAACTAAAAGCTACGACCTTCATTTCACAGTGGCGGGCAGTTATTACCTCGTGGACCGTCGACATGCCTAAAAACGCATATATTTGTCAATATATATACACGCACGTGGCCATATTTAAGGAGGAAAATATATTATTATTATTATTATTTCAAATTCAATATTTTTAGGATCTACCCTCTAGGTACTTAAGGTAAGTATACTGGTAGAGAAACATGCATGCAAATGAGAGAGAGAGAGAGTCGGTGCGCGTGTTTTACACATCAGAGTAAGTGTATTATCGGATATTATATCTGACAAGCTCAATCGCCGTAATTGCTACATGAAAAAACGTGTTATGGAGATACCTATATATATATATACATATATATATATATATATATATACACTTATGTACCTATACGTATAAAGCATAAATAAAGTATATGATTTGGCATCAGATAATAAGTAGGTCAGTCACTTTCAGTGCGTCCGTGTACATTGTCCACGTATATTGTACAAGCTATAATATAGGTACCAATGCAGAGGAGTAACATGTGTAATGATGGATATACCAACCAACTGCGTCAACTCCAAGGATCTTGAGAACTTTTAATTCGGCTACGGTTTCGTAGTTGGGACCACCCAAACAAGTGTAGACCCCTTTGTGCACGATATCCTGTATTCCCATTTCGTTGACGACTTTGTCGCAAGCTGCAAGGAGCTGTTTGTTGTAAGCTCGGTTCATGGGTGGAAAACGCGGCCCGAATCTGCAATTGCGACAAATTAATATCCCGAAAAAAAAATCCATCAAACCGTAGTAGGAATTGGACTATTGATTTTTTTTTTTTTTTTTTTTTTTTTTTTTGTTACCCTTGACTTGCTGGTCAAGATCCGAAATATTATTTACTTTTCCTTTTCATAATGTACGATGCACCTGCGTGACTTTATGTCTTAAATTACTTTTGTCTTTGGGCCCCCTTATACATGATTATAATATTATTCACACGGTTGAGTAGGAACTCATTGAGTAACAATTGTTCGAAAAGTTTACAAATATATCTATGATAATCTTAATCAGCGCGTCACTTATCACTGCAGGGTCAGCATCAGGGAGCTCTATCAACGACTTAATGGGTCGTCGCACAATTATTATGTAAGTACCTGTCGTCGTTAGGTCCTTGAAGGGGATTATTACCCGCAAAACCCATCAAGTTCACGTGGTCTTTCATCAGCATGATGTCGCCGACGTTGTAGTTTGGATTCAAACCCCCTGCCGCGTTTGTGACAATCAGGTGTGACACCCCAACCAACTTCATCACTCTAACCGGCATCGCGCACTAAAAAATATTGTACATTATTCTTGGTATTAAGTATTATTGCTCAAGTCTATAATTATACATGAGGATTTTGAACGCAACGGGAAACAAAAGAAAAACGTATAACAATTACGTTGGTATTTTGTCATTATTTTATATGTATACCTTCCAGAGGGGATAGCCTTCGTAATAGTGGAATCTGCCTTGCATGCACATGACGGGAACACCGTGCAGGTAACCAAAGACCATTTGCCCGACGTGGCCCTTGACCGTTGAACTGGGAAAGTGAGGAATATCCTCGTAGGGGAAGCATTGCTTTTGGGTGAGGGTATCGGTGATTGGACCTGCGATGCAATGCACACGTTGTGCAGTTAAACTTTATTTTTTCGTCTTTTCATTATAATTATTTATTTTTTTATTTTTTTTTTTCCCCATTTCATCTTTTCATACTTTGCGTTATTTTTAACATCACTTTCGGTGGGAAAATACGTACCGAGCCCGGAGCCGCAAATGATGCCAATTTTGGGACGAGTTGAGATACGGTCAAGCAAGTAATTGGCGCTTTCCTGCAGAGACTCGAAGCTGAATCTGAAAGTATCATGGTTGAGAAAATATCATCAAGATCTTAAAGTTAATAATTTCTGTGTGTGAATAAATATATGTAAAAATTCACGAAAAAAAAAAAAAAAAAAAAAAACAATATCCCGTTTTTCTCCCCAATTTTTGATGAAAATGATTCAAGATAGGGCTCACCTTGCTCGCTCGGTCGTGTACTATGAGGGAAAAATAATGAACACGGATTTCAGCGGAGATTATATACTCTTTTTCCGTGATTTGCATTTTAAAAATACCTACATCTATATGATTATGCATATACCTTATTATGTATGCATACCTTATATGTGTATATGGTGTAAAATAGTAGCATGTAAATCGCGGAGAAACGGTGTCACATCCGCTGAAATCCGGGTTCATGATAATTGGAATATTTTTTGTAGATTTCCTCATGTTTGTATACTAGTATTTGTTTAAAGAAAAATGAGTAACGTTGGTAGGAAATTAAAAAATTCACTTAAAGTTAAATCGTTGAGTTGTATTTGTGCTTTCGACATTTTTCAAATGAAGCTCATACAAGGAATTTTTTAAACTCAGATGCAATAATAAAATGATACTGTAAAGATTGTTATGCAATTTTACGATTCGATACTCTTCCAAGCGTAATGAAAAATGGAATATTGGCATGTAAAAAAGTGTTGTTCTTAAAATGTAAAAGATGCATTATTCAAAAAGATTTCCAAAAATCGTTTTGTCATTCGCATACGTATATAATAGTTACAACATTTCCAACTGTATAATATGTATACCGTACGAAGGTACAATATACGTGTCATCAAACGGTAGCTATTATAGTTATCCGTAGGTACCTATCCACTTTAATGCATCAATTGACACAAACTCAGCCTATTATACTTATGCTGGCATCGTAAAACATCGGCAACCATCGGCAAACATCGGCAGGCCATAATAATATACTTATGCCTGCTTTCATGTGTCACTCAAAGAGTTCACACGTAGCGCTGGTCGAACTTACATGGTTTGCAAAAAAATCGGCAGCAGTAGGTACCCCATATGACTCAACAAAATTTGAATTTCTTATACGTTTTTATATAATCACACATCGGGCCATTTATCCAATCATAGAAATAATTAATATCATCGTTTGATACCGTGGGAAACTTGATAATTGCCCAAGATTATTATTAATTAAACTTTTTTACAGTCCGCTTTTCTACAGATTCCCAATCGTATACCTTTTATAATTTGGTAGTTGATTGATTTAATAAATGTTTACTTGTTTTGTCGAGTGTGATCGTACAAAATATCTAATGAAAAAAAAAAAAGAAAAAAAAATGTGACTAAGATACGCTGCAAAAGTTGATTGCTAGGTTGTGTCCATGGCCAGCAAATAAACTAAATAAAGAAATAAAACCACCATGCCCATCCTGGAGCGCTTTAATGTGAAAAGCTCGACTCTTTGGTATAGTTGTCGTTGTTGTGCTCAAGCATTCTTTTCCACCAATCTAATATAGGTGCAAGCTAAATAAAGAAAAATTTAAAAAAACTATTTGACGCCAAAAATTTTTCAACTGTTTAGTCGAGGCATGCAATATATATATATACATAACATCCTGCTGAGCCTCATTCACCAAGACTTGTGAAGTTAGCGCCCGCAAATATTAAATATTATGATTTTGCAACTATTCAGGGCTTAAACGATTCCTCCTTACTTGCGGATTTTTTTTTTCCCCAAACCTAATGAGTCGTATGTATTTTGATAAAATATTTTCTGCAATTTGATCGAGATCCGCTTTTTAAAAACTTTTAATTTCTTATCTCTTACGTAACACATAATGATGTACATGTACCTCTTGTATTGAATTTACGCAGTGTTTTATTGATTGCTCGTTCTATAAAAATCAGCGATGTCGTTCCACACTGATTCTGGAGTACGAGCAAAGGCCTTGAGACCGCCAGAACCGGTGCTTGAGCGCAACAATCACATAGGATCTAACGCGCGTACATACAGCTATCGCTTCAACCTTGGCTCCATAGAGCAGCAAACGGATGATAAAATCAACCGAATCATCGAGCTGGTTCCCAGAGTGTTTTTTTTTTTTTTTCACGTTAACAAAAGTTACACCTAAAAAATTTATCACAAAGAAAAAATTACTCAACTTGGTTAATGATATTCAGATGCCGAGCCATTAGACTACGGCAGCTATACCATTGCTGCGGTGGCAAATGTTATTTTCGCGGCTGTAGGAGAGTTTCGTTGCCTTTTTTAAACAACAGAGCGAAAAAATGCGATTCAATTACGGGCGAACAAAAAAACTATTGATCATGCGTATGCCTATCACATGTAAATATAAAATTGTAGTGATAAATATCAAGGTCTAGCTAAAATTATCTTAATCAATGCAAGCTACTGCGTCCATGCGCCCTAATCAAGATATAATGTGAATAAATATCGTTAAACACATTTTGTCGATCATTTGGAATATTTTTTCAACTTTTATCATATATTCAATATTTTCAAGTTTTTTCGTTTACCCCGACTACCTGAAATGTATGGGAAAAGGCCATCGTCGCAATCTCAAAGTCAATACATTGAATGTAATGGAAAAACAAATACCAAGTTTCAGCATCAATCGCTTAACTTTTTTCCATAAGCTTTTTATTCTGTTTATCCGACATCTTCATTTAACCTTTTTTTTTTTTTTTTTTTCATAATAGTGCGCAAAAAATGTCAATCATATTATAAAACAGTTATTTTCGTAATCCGTAGAAAATGCGTGTTGATGGTTTATCGTGGAAAATCCAATTTCTCTCATACTGGGTCTCACCTTGAAATTGTCATTACGTCGTGAATAAGTACATAATATAATAATAATATACTGATGACTTCTGACTTTGTCAGTCGATCCGAAATGTGATTGATCCGCATCAGCATTTTTGCACTCGTGACTGTTGAAGTAGGTAAGTTTTCGCCTTTCGATTATATTTCACGGCCAATTAATATTCTCTTTTTTATTAAATTCAAGTGCCTCAATCGCATTGTCTCACACGTGTAGGCAGAAACTACCTAATTACGTACACTTTGTCAAATTTTTCATCCATTAAGCGTTGCATAAGAGTTTGCCCAACGTAAAAAAAAGTACGGATAATAAGTACTCGCCCTATTAATCTGCAGTTACGCTGACGAAAGATCACGGTGACAAAAGATTCGCTGTATAACTCGAATAGTGATAAGATAAAGAACAAGACAGAGAGAAAAGGTTGGGACAGAAATGTGTTTGAAACGATATGGCGTCTATATTTCATTCATTCATAATCACATCGGTATAATTTTTTTTTTTTTTTATCGGGAATGTAGATTTAACGATTAGCCATTTTCACGTGGTTTTACGAGTCCGTCGCAATGATCAAACTATCATTTTTAGTACCTTGTAAAACTTGGTGCATGACAGGTAAGGAAGCAAACGTGGTCTCAGCACTCCCCTCACAATTCATAATAGGTATTCTTACCCAGCAAAATATGCAAATCGCTTGTTCACATCTGCTTGTCTACTGCACTTGTGACGTTTATCGGAGCAAGTGGTGCGTAATGCGCGCTTCCGTTTTTAATTTCCTCACCCAACTGTCTGTATCAGATATCGTGATTTTAAAAAAAAATGCAAAAATAATTTTAAAAATTTTTGTGACCGGCTAGATAAAACATTGCCGATGTGTTTTGCAATGAATTCTTATGAATTATTATTGCATCTGCAACATTTGGTTTTTTCTTCGTGTACTTGAATCATATCGAATAAAAATAACATCTCTCTGGAAAATCCATCATAACATAATATAATATAATATATGTGGTATTTATCTATCTGTGTTAACGAACATATTTACAAGAATTTTCCTTTTTTTTCGTAAGAATGAGCGACAATGACGTTTGTTAAATCTTTTGCTTCGAAAGATAACGTGAATGTTCTTTGTAATAAGAAAAAAGGAAAAAAAAAAAAAAAATCTAACGTGTTTGATGATTCAACAGTCATTGAATTTTTTTGAGCACGAAACAATGGGTGCACTAGTTTATGCAATTCTTAAAGGCACCGCAGAGAAGAACAGGTGACAATAACAAGAAAAATAACTGTATTGCGGCTTTTAAAAGTGTGCGCCGCGCGCGGAACTCCGTCAAGCGCAGGATGGTTGGAAATAGGAAGTAACACAACAACAACAACAACAACAACAACAACAAGAGCGAGGAAACTTATTCCTACGTACTTAATTGAGGAAACAATTAATGAATAAGGAAACTCACGATGAGTGAACGATGCCAGTATGTTTGACGTTTGTATGTAAAAATTCGTTTTCGCTGGGCCTTTTGACGTGCAACGGGTGTCCATTCTTATCATCCACCATCGGCATCTTGGCGTATTCTGTACTTTTCGTTGGCTCGTGGCAAAAGATAAACAAACAAATTTAAACTATTGTTGTCTTAAAAGCGGAGCGACAGACGAGACGAGACTGAACTGACTGTTCGGTCAGTGGCTTCATATATAGACTCGTTTGCCTCCCACCCTTTCAGTCGCTCGATCCATAAGAGATGATAAGGTACATATATATATATATAAATAACCCCGAGATATTTTTCATATAATATTAAGTATCTGCCTCCCTCACATCGGTGCGCTTAAAAATGGGGTTAATTCGAACTGATGCACCCGAAATATTTATGTACCTCTTGTATTGAATT